AGGTCATGAGAGCGGTCTATCATGCAAGCATTTTCTAAGTCATATCAACAGCATATATACACGTAGTATAATATTCATTGGTCTTCTGTAGTTGCTAGACATGTACACTACGCTATGTATCACCCCTCTCATCCATCGTCCATCGTCCGTTGCTTCTTTTTTATCTCATCCATCGTCCGTTGCTTCTTTCGTATCCCATTCATCGTATCGTAGACCATACGTTCCGTGTGCTGTACCTTGCCATGTCGTTGCTTCTTTCTTATCTTATCCATTGTCCGTTGCTTCTTTTGTATCCCATTCATCGTATCGTAGGCCATACGTTCCGTGTGCTGTACCTTGCCATGTCACCTGATGGGCAGACCATTGTGACGGGTGCGGGTGATGAGACGTTGCGTTTCTGGAACGTTTTCAACAAATGCCGCGCAGTGAAATCCAAGTCAGTGCTGGAGTTAGGAACAGCATCCATCAGGTGACACCAAGGAAGTACACACACAACACACAACACACACACACACACACAACATACAACTCACAACACCCCCTTGCATGTCACATGCACACCATAGGAACATATGAACATCAGGTGATACAAAGGAAGCACTGACGTGTGCGATGGCCACCAACGGCATAGGCAATCAGACACAGACACACACACATACACACACACACAACACTCAACACACGGTTCATGCGCACCAGTGGGCCACACAGCCATGGCCTGTTGCCACAGTTGACACTGTTGAGTATATGCACACACCTAGAAGGTATCTTGGGTAATTATGGGTCTTTGCGCATGTGTGCTTGTGTGCATAGGGCAGCTATACTCTGCTGCAACAGTGGTGTCAGCAACGACCATCCACTAATGGCATTAAGGTTCTATAAATAGACATTTGCTCCATATTAATTGACACCCGGGGTATGAGTCATGGTTACTACGTAGCACACCCGAAATTCGGGGCCCAGGTGCGGACACGACAGCGAAACTATCCCTCAGTCCACGCAGGAGATAAAACATCAGCTATGCCGGGACGGGTCTTCTGAATTCCGGTACATACGGAACACCAGGCGTGATACCTCGCATGGGGAATCATCAGCCATGTCACATATGCGATGGCCTGCGAACACCACGGCAGAAGCTCATACAAAGCGGCGGGGTTAGTCCTGCTATAACTCATACCGGGACGAGTAATGTATAAACCTGGACGAGTAATGTATAAACCGGAACGAGTAATGTATATCCCGGGACGATTACTGTATAAACCGGGACGAGGAATGTATAAACCGGGGCGAGTACGGTATAAACCGGGTCGAGGAATGTATAAACCGGGGCGAGAAGTTTATAAACCGGGACGGTGTTGTGGTCGTCGGTGGGTACGGGTGCGATGCCACGAGTGGCCAAAGAGTGAGTCATCAGACATGTGCACTCGTTAACACTGCACCACGCAATCGACACACGAGAGCCAATTTAATAGACCTACACACCGCTATCTACAGGATCAACCCCGATCAGAACCCTAAGGCTTTAAAACCCCGATAACCCTAAAACCCGATAACCCTAAAACCTTAAACTTTATATCTGGAGAACAACAAGGGAGGGCTGGTATGGGGTTCTCATAGACAAACCACAGCAACCAACCACGTAGGCATCGCATTAACATCCTCTGCCGAGTGCCGAGGGATCGGCCACTGCCACTGAATGGCTCGGCTGTGCACCACCCCCACGCGACAATGCGCTACACCAACCACACACTATTCAGGCGGAGAGTGCTCCCACACACTATGACGGACCAGAGGCTACACCCTAAACCCTAAACCCTAAACCCCGTGTTGAGGTTATCAGAACACAGAGCGTACCAGGCGAGCGACACTGCTGTACGCACACACGCACGAATGGGCAACACACGCACACGAGAGGGTGTGGGTGTGTGTGCAAGTGTGTCGGTATTAGGGTTTAGGGTTACATGAGCATAGCCACATAAACATGCAACATAAGAGCATAGGCGGGTTAGAAAGTGTTTGCACATGTAGATGGAGCATGTGCAGGACCACTGCAGGTGCCAGCATGGACTACGCCTACCCGCCAGTGAGGTTTAACTAAAACCCTGTAACCCAATAACTCTACAATCGTTTAAACCCCTATCGAGTGCGTAGAATTTGGGGGCGACTCACGTGTACGCAGGAAGAACACATATGTGTGACAGTACACACGCGGCACAACGGTCACACACAACGGTCACACACCCATGACACCATAACTGGCTAGTGCCATGAAAACACTAAGCGACAGTAGATAGAGAGTGGCCAGTGCTATGACACAGTAGCTAGAGAGACTGGTGCTATGTCACAGTAGCTAGAGAGAATGGTGCTATGTTACAGTAGCTAGAGAGACTGGTGCTATGTCACAGTAGCTAGAGAGACTGGTGCTATGTCACAGTAGCTAGAGAGACTGGTGCTATGTCACAGTAGCTAGAGAGACTGGTGCTATTTCACAGTAGCTAGAGAGACTGGTGCTATGTCACAGTAGCTAGAGAAACTGGTGCTATGTCACAGTAGCTAGAGAGACTGGTGCTATGCCACAGTAGCTAGAGAGACTGGTGCTGTGACACAGTAGCTAGAGAGACTGGTGCTATGTCACAGTAGCTAGAGAGACTGGTGCTATGTCACAGTAGCTAGAGAGACTGGTGCTATGTCACAGTAGCTAGAGAGACTGGTGCTATGTCACAGTAGCTATAGAGACTGGTGCTATGTCACAGTAGCTAGAGAGACTGGTGCTATGTCACAGTAGCTAGAGAGACTGGTGCTGCAAGTGGGCTGTATCACAGTCCAACTCTATGGACATGCCACGAGCCTACTTCGCCATTGGATACCGCAATTTGTGATGACTACTATATTAGGCCAAGTTTGGTAGGTATCAAGCGAATACCGGGACGCGACAGGGGCATACCGGTACAGTGTAGTGCAGTGCACCGCATAACTCAGGCGATACGTCCTGGGCACAAACCTACTCACTTTTGCAAGCACCGAACATCCTCTGCCAAACTTACTTGTCTAGGGGCCTTATAAGGGGCCATTACACACAAAGGTACACACATTCTACACATCCACACACACGCACACAGCAGCTGTGATTTGTAAGTCAACATGTGTGGAGAGGCAACTTGTGCATACGACACACACTCAGTGCACGTGACTTCTGAGGGACTACGTGACCACTGAGGGACTACGTACAGAGACTACGTATAGAGAAGACGTGTAGAGACTACGCATAGATACGTTGAGGGGAGAGACTTATGGGCGGCAGTAGGCAACGCTTTACGACACGCTTGAGCCAATACTACCTGACAAGTAGTACACAAAGATATGAAATTAGAGGTAAATAGATATGTATATATGTATATATGGCCACCAAAGTGCATCAGAAGGAGTTGAAAAAAAATATGAAGATAGGTTTATATATATATATATATATATATATATATATGAATGTGTATAGAGCACACAGACATGGCTGGCCATACACAATGGTCGCGTTGTTGGACTTAGGCGGCGCAGTCGAGATATTAACGCACACGAGGTGAGCGGAATGACGAAACGGTATAGAGAGACAGAACACATGGGATGACCCAATAAAGATTCAAAACGTTTATATGATATGACTACGTGTCATTCTGAGCGTACAGCAGGTGATTGTTATATGTACTGCAATACATTGGAATCGAGCAGTGGCAGTGTCGGATGTTAGTGTATGTATATATACATATATACAGTATATATATATATATATATATATATATATATATTATAAGTATATATACATACGAATTATACCACA